AGCGCATGCCTCTGAGCCCACTCCTTACACAAGTTGCACTGAATCCAGTCCTCGTCATGACGTTCTAGACAAATAACACATACCTATATCTTGCGTTGCGTGCATAGATTGGGATTGCTGCTGACAATTTTCTTTCAATGACAAAGCTTTTGTCTTTTTTATCTTACCTTTTTTATTAGTCTTCTTAAATTTACCAAGAAGTACTTTATTTTCTTCTTTCATTTTCTTTTCGGTGTCGTTCATTTCCATAGCCAATTTGTAAGGAGATGAGGTAAGGACTTTGCTTTTCTTAGCCTTGCGTTCCGTTCCCTTGCTTGAACTCTTTTCTTGGCAGCGTCTGGCAAAGGTGAAATATTTAAAATCGCTTTTCTCACAGAATCCAGACTAGTAGAAGGTTGAGGCGATGGTTTCTCGACGGTTATACGAACAGAACTAGACGGAAAGACTTTTCCCAACAGAATCCGGGGGCTAACCAGCTTTGTCTCTTTCGTTTTCACTGCAAATGGCCGTTTTTATTCGATTCCTTGCTGTAGGTGTAGTATACGTTCGGTACTACCAGCCATTCGGCGCTAGGGGACTTCCCCCTATGAACATGTTAAAAAGATGACTCCGTTTAAAAATTTTCTGGACTTCAAATATGGAAATATACATTAATCAAATGCACCAATCACCAAGATAAAAACAAACTATTAGTTTATTATTATTAATTAACATTTGCGGTATCTAACAATTACATATTTTTCAATACCTGGTAATTCCCAGAAAAGTAACATAACCGCTATGTTCACACAGATGTTAAAATATTTATTTAATTTTAATTTAATAGTTTTACTTATTGTTACTTATCTTTTTGTAGTACCATTTTCAGCATTTTTCGCGTGTGTGAACTCATTTATAACGGCGCTGTGTGTGCATGCGTTCTACTTCATGAACTCAGGATAGATACACTTTTTCCGTCAAGCGATTTTGCCAAATTTCCGAAGTGACAATCTCGAAGATATATATCGGAAGTAACTACGTCGGTTAGTATACCACGTAAAAGCGACCGTGGCGCCAGCGGCATATACCAGAACTAAGTGCCAAACTCAAAAAATTGGATGCAGTGCCACATCTTCTTTCTTTGTCTGTTTTGGTGAATGTTAGAGAGCGATATAAGTGTACGTCCTCTTGATTTCTTGCTTAAACGACCACTGAGAACGGTAAATCTGGATCAAGTGTCTTTTTAATTTTGAAAGAAAACTGCGAATTACTTTCAAAACACAGCCATCTAAGTTTGAGCCAATTAAATTTGGTCCCTTCAGTATTAATTTTTCTGTTTTGTATAGAAGCTTCTAACGTTGCAGTTGACAGGAAATCTCGCTGCATTTTAATTACTTTGAATCATGGTTCTTTATGCTTAGACTCCTCAACAATTTTCATCCGATCTTCAGGACAAAAGATAAACGTCGGCTTTCTACTTGCCTTTTCGATCACGCTAATATCAGCTTCGTTTGACAAATAAGAGTGACCCGATGCTAAAAATTTGTGGTCTATTATAACCTTTGCGTTCATGGCAGGATATTGCACTAAACTAACTTTAACAAACTAAGAGCAAGTTTAATGTTTCTGTTTTATCCTGTGTAGGAATAAAATAATGTTAGTTATAATAATTTCTTGAATGTTCTTTCCAATGTTTTAAAATACATGAAGCTGTGTCTTGAGATCCTCGTCCCCCTTCCGTTTCATCGTACATGTACATAAATTTGGTTCTTTCGTTCAGTGAATGAATTCGTAAATTGTACACATACATATTTTTTCATGATAGGCAACAGAAGTGTTTATTTGGGAAATGGCAGTGTTTTTTGTAAATCGAATGTTTCCACATAACAATCGTTACTAGTGGAATGTTCATCTGTCTTCAAACTCTCACGGCCCTTTTCAGCGCTTAAAAGATGCTTATTTTTCTCTCCAATAAGTATATTTTTCCTTTCTTTTTCAAGTTCACTTTTAACTTTCATTTGAAATTTATCGCAAATCCGACACGTGTCTTTGCTTTTGTGATTTAAAACTTAAATTAAATTTTGTGTTAAAGACATATCGCTGCAATGCCTGAAGTAGATATAAAAAGGCAAAAAACCTAAGATCCGAAGCCTAATCATTAGTTGTTTACCACCTGTGCATTTGTGGAAAAATGAGTCAATAATAATCATAAAAATAACACATTTAACTGAAATAAAAAATTAAGCTTAAAAATGTTTTTTTTACATTTTTTTACCTCTCAGTGCAAATAAAGAAAATCATGCTTTTTTAAAAAATATTAAAATTGATTTGACCCCTCATGCCACTCAGAAAAGTCAACGTGGCCTTGTATCTCCAAAATAAATACTATAATATTTCAGAAAATGGATTTCGAATACTTTTACCTGTATACCACATCTCAATGAGTTTTTATACACCGCTCCGGAAATAACTATTTAGATGTATCCATACCCACTTTTAAACAACCTGTAGGTATATGCGTATTTGTGGTCTTTAAATAATTCGTCGCAAGATTTTATAACGAACAAATCGATGTTTTAATACAAGCATTTTAAGGACAATTGTGTTTTAATTCTAGCAAAAGAACAGTTCTTATATTATTAAATATTTAATAAATATCTACATACCACGCCACGATCAAGCTAATGGCGCGGTTAACTTAATGCGGAATTACGTAACCCAGTGACTACTGATTACACTTTGGCCACTAACAAACGTAGTACTGTACTGTACATCAGGAATTAGCTTGGCCTCTTTTATTAACACACTGGAGGGGGAAAAAGAATTAAAATACAGACATTACAAATTTATATTAAGATAAACAAAATTGAAATTTAAAAAATAAAACAAAATTAAAATAAAAAAACAAAATTAAAATTATGTTACAATCTAATGATCACGGTCGTCGTCGTTGCTGTCCCTTGAATCGCAACACTATGGAGCGGGAAAAATAATTAAAATACAGAGATTACAAATTTCTATTTAAAACAAAAAACAAAATTAAAATTACAATTAAAAAATAACAAAATTAAAATAAAAACAAATTACAATAAAAAGAAACAAAATTAAAATTTAAAAAAATCAACGTTAAAGGCGAACAACTACGGTGGTCGTCGTTGCCGTCGCCTCTATGGCAACGAAGACCCCGTTTGATAAAGTCAAAATTGGCTGCGTTGTCGGTAAATCCGCAGCGCCGACTTCAAAAATTAATTGCCCGGGAGCGACTCCGGGCACAGGATCAATAATTACGTGGACCTTATGAGCTGCAAAGAAAACAAGAACAAATAAGAGAAAACCAAATTTAGAAAATCAGAGAAAAAGAAAGAAAAAAACGGGGATGAGGAGAAATGCGGAAAATCACTTACGATCTACACGTCCTGGTTGGGGACGGGCAGTTTCCCGTTCGTCAGCTGCAAACAAAAAAATTGATCGAAGGTTATTTCAGCAGAACATTTCTCGCTCCTTCGAAAAATTATAATTTGATTTTGCTAATTTTATTGTTTAATGAAATCCCCATAAGTTAAAACAAAAATTGTTGTTATGTATGCAATGTTAAATGAGCAAATTTAAAATGTGTCCAGTTGCAATCAATGGGTTCCGGACTCATGTCCACATTCTCGCCAGACAATAAATTATTAATTTTTTTGATAAATTTAAAGCCGGGATTCTTTTCCAAACAACTTTTTAATTTATTGAACGCGATTTTGGAAACCTTCCCTGAACCATGTTTTAATGAACTGTATGTTTGCATTACGATTTCTACAGCCTCCGTTAGTGGCAGACCAATCGCTTCCAATTTTGTTATGTTGTCCGATAATATTTTAAAATTGGCCTTAATGTAAAGTAAGTCGTTCTTCAGTTGTGGTTTATTAACATATTTTTGTGCCAACTCAATGCATCGTGCGTCTCCTGTGGTAAAAGTCATGATTACCTGAAATATTTATTTAATTGACAGAAATGAAACAATTTAATTCAAACCTTGTGTATGTCATCAAAATGATCTGCGTAACATAATGCGGCCCTCAGGGCCGGCGCTAGAGATTTTGCCGCCCCGTGCAATTTTTTTTTGCCGCCCCCTCAATAAAGTTAACAATATAAACTACCTACTACATAATTAATTTTGTTACCTTCAACTAAAATTTATTAAATCACCTAACTTTTGTTTCATCCAATTATTTCTGTTTCTTGGCTTTTGGTTAAATATCCTCGTGTAAATTCAACAAAAAATAAATTCGTGGTAGGTGGTAGGTATGTATATACAGTTAATTGATCATTAGATAGATATGCACATCTATTTACACGGGGAAAACTTGTTTATTTAAAACATAACACAAACACTTAAAATTTAACTGAGAAAAGTTTCACCTTGATTGCACAAGTTCTTTATAGTCCAAATTTTGGGGTAGTTCATGTTCAATTGATATTGAGACATTCTTCAAGAGAACCACTTTGTTTTTTTAACTCAGTTTCTCAAGCAAGTTTTCTTTTACGGTACACAGCATCCGAAAGACGATACCGTTTCAAGCGATTTCGAAAAATACGAAGCAAAGACACAACACGTCCTAAAGTCGATACAAAACTGAGCTTTAATTGAAACTTTTCTTCAAGAATCGAATCATCTTACAAAAATAAATAAATTTAAGTACTTTGAAACAAGTTCATTAACCATATACAAAATCGGTTGTTTAGGAGAGCGTCACGCTTAATTCTTTTAAGTATCGCTCTGGCGACTGAAATATGAGTCTATTTTAGTGGAGGAATGATACGGTTGAAATTTTTCCCACATAAGCATTATAATTGTTTTTCTTGTTTGAGTTTGATTGCTGTTATTTTAAAAATAAGTTTTTATTATCGAATTTCGCCGCCCTTCAAAAATTCGCCGCCCCGTGCAATTGCACGTGTTGCACCGTCGGTAGCGCCGGCCCTGGCGGCCCTTATCCATGTCCACCATCTCGTTAATACAGGCTGCGGTGGTAGTGGAATATCGGGCAAGGTCTGTTTATAAAATTCAACTCGAGTTGGAGCTTTTAAAAATATTTTTTTAACATTCGAAATTAACCCGTCGACAGTTTCGTACTGGTTACGTACTGACTCACACACAAGGTGCAAACAGTGCGCCAAACATGTCAAATGTTGCAGATTTTCGTAAAATATTTTTAAATTCGTTCCGGCCTTCAGCATATACGCTGCACCATCTGTCACTAAAAGCTTGACTTTATCGTATTTGATGCCCGCAGGCCACAGTACACCTAAAATATTATATTAAAATGATATAAAATTTAAGTAGATATTATTTAAATAGGTTTAAATTTGCCCAAACTTTTTTTTAAATTTTTTTGTACTAAGCAAAATTGGGACACTAGCCGCTTCACAATCTAATTTTCCAATTATCATATTTGCCATATATCTGCCTACTGAATCTGTTGTTTCATCGACAGAAATCCAAATATCGTTGTCCCGAATGTAAGTTTTAATTCTTTCAACAGTCTGAAAAAAAAAATTAGTGCAATAATAATTTAAAATATACAATTTCTTCAATAACGTCTTGAAAACACTGCTCTAGGTAATTTTTTCGAAGCGTGGACTCATCCGGAATGTGTTTTCCAGTGTATTTTTGTAGGAACTCTTTTAGTTTGGGACAAGACAACTTGTTCCATGGAATGTTAGCAGCAATTAGCGCGTTGCACATTTCCAAATTAAATTCCCGATTTGCTGTCCCAGAAGTGGATTGTTGGTATAACAAACTTTGACGAAATGTTTTTTTTACGTTCTTATTGTGAATGTCCCCTCGTTCATGCTGTTCCAAATGAGACTTCTTTTCACACTTAAACTTAAATATTCAACATTAAAATTAAATAATATAGTATGTTACTTAAACAATAACAAATTGATGAAAATCGTATTTACATACTTACCACTTTGCCACATGCTTTACAGAATAATCCTCTGGCATCGTTGGCAATTTTATATATATTGCCATCATCCACGGATTTGAGCCAGTGGTTAATTTTAACTGTGTTAGAGGTTTTTTCTTTAGGCATCACGACGTTTAAAAATATTGTATACAAGAGAACACCAAACTTACACCACGACACAATTTTAACTGAATGTCAGAAATATGACAAATGGCACTAGCGGAAGTGCATTTACAAAAGAACTAATAAAAATGTTACAAACTTGTTTGTAAGATAAAATATTACAATCGGAAGGAAAGGCGTAAAACCAAAGAGCTACCGCACTTTATTGGTGTTGTTTCCGGGAAGGGTCTGCTTTCGGCTCACCATTGTCTGGATGTTTGTGAAATTACCGCATAGCAGCAGGTTTAGGACGTTTTAGGTCACAAGAAGCAGTTTTAGGTCACATACTCTCATTTTAGGCAATTAGGCAATTATAAAGTAGGCTCAAATAACGTAATTTTTTGCGAAACACATTTATATCTAAGTTTCATGTAAACGCCTTAAAAAGGAACAAAAAGGCAAAAAACCAAAAGTCCGGGCCCTATTAATAAAAATCATAAAAATAGCACATTTAACTGAAATAAAAAATAAAGCTTAAAAAGATTTTTTTTTACCTCTCAGTGAAAATAAAGACATGCTTTTTAAAAATATATTAAAATTGATTTGCCCCTTCGTGCCTCTCAAAAAAAAGTCAGCGTGGCCTTGTATCTCCAAAATAAATATTATAATATTTCAGAAAATGGAATTCGAATACTTTTACCTATATACCACATCTCAATGAGTTTTTATACACCGTTCTGGAAATAACTATTTAGCTATATCCGTACTTTTAAACAACCTGTAGATATATGCGTATTTGTGATCTTCAAATAGTTTCTCACAAGAGTTTATAACGAACAAATCGATGTTTTAATATGAGCATTTTAAAGACAATTAACTTAATGTGGAATTAAGTAACCCAGTGACTACTGATTACACTTTGGGCCACTAATAAACGTAGCACTGCACTTTACTGTGCATCAGAAATTAGCTTGGCCTCTTTTATTAACACCCTGTGGAGTAGGAAAAAGAATTAAAATACAAACATTACAAATTTATATTAAATTGAAATTAAAAAAAAAAGAAAATTAAAATAAAAACAAACTAAATTAAAATAAAAAAAAACTAAACTAAAATTAAAAAAATACAAAATTAAAATAAACACAAACTTAAAATTAAAAAAATAAAAAGAAACAATTAAGCTATAACCTAATGATCACAGTCGTCGCCGTTGCTGTTCCCTGAAACGCTACGAGGACGCCGTTTCCCAGTGTCAAAATCGCCTCCCGCGTAGGGAGGTCCCCCGGGCCTACCTCCAACGAAATGAGCGCGGGAGGGACCCCGGGCACAGGGTCTACTATGACCCGCACCTGATGAGCTGCAAAGAAAACAAGAACAAATTAGAGAAAACCACAAATTTAGAAAATCAGAGAAAAAGAAAGAAAAAAGAGGGGTGAGGAGAAATGCAGAAACATCACTTACGATCGACACGTCCGGGTTCCGGCCGCGTCTCGGCTAGGTTGGTTGGCATTGGCAGTTTGTCGGCTGCAAACAAAAAAATTGATCGAAGGTTATTTCAGCAGAACATTTCTCGTTCCTTCAGTATAATCTACATCCATCTATTTCGAAAAATTATAATTTGATTTTGCGAATTTTTTTGTTTAATAAAATCCCCATAAGTTAAAACAAAAATAGTTATGTATGCAGTGTTAAAGTAAATGTAAAGAAACGTGTTACGCGTGCAATTCAAATGAGTTTTACCTTGAACAAATTTTGTGATGAGTGATGCCGTTACCAACATTTTTACAAGAGCACTAATATTATTTTGGATAGGTGAAGTGAAGTGTCATACTAGTGAATACACACATTTTAGGGAAAATGGAGTGAGCTGTTTCTGATTTTATCAATAAAACAAATTGACGCACTCATTAATTTTTTGAGTCACCCTGTATAAGTAATTTTAAAAATATGAACCCAATGATAAATCACAAGTGTAAGTTCACAATATTAGTATATTTTCAATAGGATTTATTCGTCAAAATTTTGAGTTGACGTCATAAATTTTTTGGGGTTATAAACACATATATTTTGATTAAAAATTTACCCTGCTTATGATAACTGTAAAACGTCTGCAAGATTCTAAAGCATTCGGTTTTGCAGTTTCTGATTTAATTAACAATAAATTGATTTTTTTTTTGCGTCAGCCTGTATAAGTACCTACTTGTTGAAAATATGAATGGAATGATAAATCGCAAGTATAAACTATCATCATATTTTGCAATTTTGCATATTTTAGATAGTATTCGCGAGTTTTTCCTTTACAAAATATTGTGACGTCATCAACAGTTTTGCAAGCACATGTATATCAATTTGGATCAGTGCAGTGCACAATTAATAGTATTGTATTCCCAAAAATTCGGGAAATGGAGTAAGGGAGTAAGCCGTTCTTAATTTAAACAATAGAAAATTTGACTTGTTCAGTAACTTTTTTAGTTACTCTGTACAAGCAATTCTAAAAAAAAATATGTATGTATGCATGCATAAACCACAAGTACTGTGAATACTTTAAATTTATTCGCTAAAATTTTAAGATGATATCATCAACGTTTCCGCGCGCGGGGAGTGGGGGCGATAAAAGGATAAATTACGATTATCGTTTTACCATGCCTACAATAGCCTTAAGACATTTGCAAGACTTCAGAGTGTCCAATTTTGCACTTTCAAAGTTAAATTGTAAAACAAAGTTAAATTGTAAAATTTTTGTTTTTTTTTTTCAAAAATCTAGAGGGATCAGGTAAAAAACAGATTCATAAACCAAACGTATATGAAAATGAGTGTGTTATTTTATGAAATGTTAATAACACCTACAAGGTGCAGCTTTGAGGTGCCGTTATCACATTGTTGGTTGACTGGACAAAGTTTGGTAACATTTTAATATCTACACAAAAATGTCAAATATAAATTACACTCGCAGATGCTGCAAGCGGGAAGGTGCGAGTAAGATGTGGTATTGCCAAATCGCCATATTACAAGGAATAAAAAAATCGCAAAATTCGAATAAGGGAAACACTTACATGTACTATGTTTTACGGAATGCAACATAAACTTACCAGTAAATTAGCTTTCATTACTGTATACAAAACAATACCTATTGGTTTTTATTAATAAAAATATCAGGAATATAAGGTAAATACGATCTCGTGTCACACAATGTGTATATCTTTTTAAACAAAGTAATAAGAGTTTTTTACTTTACCGTCATTTTTGAAACGTTTGAAAAACATGAGCATCATATTCCATAAAATGTGTATGTATTACTGGTGTTCAAATACAACTAACTGATGCAGTTTTTCTCTGATGATAGGTCCTTGTAACTCTAATTAATTATACAAATGACTAATATGATGCAATCTGATGCTTACATAAAATAACACCAAGTGCTTTGTTAACTCAAAGATGTGGTTATCACCAAAGATTCAAAATCTACGAGATGTTCATCTACAGATGAAAATGCCGAATTCTGTAAATTTGCGAAAATACTAAATAAATGCCCGCCAAATATTTGTGTTCCCCAACATGGCGGAAATATACTTCAACCCCCCACTACCACAATTCTTTATTTAGTCGTCTTTGAATCCACACGACATTCATCACATACGTGTACGATTCGACACAACAATAAAATTCACCTAAATAATGAGAAGGCAGCTATGATTTCTTCTCCGAGTGCACGTGACGATAGTAATGATTAATTAATTAATTGCGTATATACCTTATGTTCGTAACCAAAACTCGTAATTGTCTTATTCTTTCGGGTGCATCATTATGTGGTACGTCGACTTAAATCGTCGCGAACGTAAACAAACAATGATATGATTCAAACAATTAATTTTTATCATTTATTAGTTTTTATCTGCAACAGTTGCGAGCATTTTAACTTTTGACACATACACGACAGTCATTATAACAATAAAAAACTACAGCAATTTTCTTTAATACACAGAAAAACTGCGCGGGATTCCGTTCTCGCAACTTTACATTCAACTTTTGTTTTTTAACCCTACATACAGGCTGAGCTACTAAGTGCGTGGTGCTCCATGTCTAATGAATAATTCACAAATTATCAGAGATAGAAAAAAACTTAAGGACCAAAGTTCTTTCAGTACCGTGCATTAAAATTATTTTGACCTAAACAGAGTGTTTTGTATTTGAAGCATAATATACAACTTACTTTTTTTAAATAGAACATTCTATATATATACTTAATTTCACTTACACTAATTGGACCCGTGGTAGCCTGTAAAACCGAGGGTTATAATTTAAAATTTTGATACGATGTTGCCATGTTTCTACCATTCTTTTAAAAATTATTATTAATAAGCGGATTTTAAGAAAAATGTCTTTTCATTGCGGCTGTAGGAAAATGCATAAAAATTGAACAAAAATATATATGAGGAGCAATGTCTTCTTGTTTTTGCTTATTCACTGATTTTCCAACACGGGTTCTGGGTACGAGGGTCGGGGGAATTCCGCTATTAAAATGCCAACAATTCAATAACCAAATCTATCTTTCTGCATAGGCCATCAAAGAAAATTTATTGCATAATTAGGTTATGAACTATATGGTTACAAAATAACTAAAAGGTCCATTGAACAGACATCGACAAGTTTTGCTTTTCGTGGAACAGCAGAATTAAATGATTATTTCAAACTAAATCAGAGGTCGTATAAATAAATATCGTTTTTTAGGTGATTGCCGATTGTTTATTAAAAATACGTGTAAAACATTACAATACACTTTTCAGATATCGATATTTCAGTTTTTAAAAACTGGAAAAATGCAAAAAAAAACCTCAATATCGATATCTGAAAATTGTAATATTATTTAATTTTTCATGAATATCCTCTACATTAAGACTCAATTTAGTTTAGACAGCAACAAAGCTGTCTCTTTTTTTCTATTCCGTAATTCTCTGACACATGTTAAAAATTACCTCATTGCAATTTGTTTTGAACCATTGCAATAACAAAAAATTTCAAGAAAATTGAAATAACGTGGCAACGTCGCATTGGATTATAAAAAAAATAAATTACGGTTTTAAAACAGACGAGGAAGCCAATAAGAACATAAAAATACACAGACTGTTCTACTAAAAAAAAAAAAAGAAAAAAAAAACTAAGCTGTACGTTGTCTCCCAAAAGCAGAACACTTTATACAGATGAAAATAAAATTTGTGTATTATACTCAAAAACCCGTATAACTTGAACCTTTGACTTTTTACTTCCTGAGCGTAAGCTAAGAGTTATTTTAATCGAGTCCATTGACCAACTCTCTACTTTATCTTCTTCTTGACCTTTGATAATAAATAAATAAAAAATAAATTCTATAAAATTTTATATTTTTTAAAAAAAAGCTAGAGATGTGTTATTGTACTTTACGGATGAGACAGGTTCTAACGAAATATTTTTTTCTATTTTCAATATCATGTTGTCATATTTTGTTAAAAAGCCGTGTTAAAAATTAATTTAAGATGACTGTAATGAATTTATTAACACTGCTAACTATTTGCGGATACAAATTTATTTTGTAAAATTCGGTTGTTAATTGTTCAAGTTTTCCACATTCATTTGGGTTAGGAAAAGTGAAATTTTTCCTAACTAGAGCGGAAAAATAAAACAAAACAATATCAAACACCAGTTC